ACTGAGCCACCCAAGTGCCCCAGTGCCCCAGAAATTTAAAATTTTAATTTAGACAGTCTTTTTGTCTTATGAGTTTCATGTCATTTTTAGTGGAAAGGTCTTCTCTACCCTAAAACTAGTGAAACAATCATCTGCATTTTCTTCTAGTACTTTAAGTGATTTTATTTCTTTATGATTTGCCAGCAGTGCTGGTTTTGGAGTTTTAACATCCTTGATAAAAAGACTGAAAAAAGGGGCACCTGGGTGGCTCAGTCGGTTGAGTGTCCGACTTTGGCTCAGGTCATGATCAAGTCCCGCAACGGGCTGTCTCCTGTCAGGGAGGATCCTCTGTCTCTCTCTCTCTCTGCCCTTCCCCCTCTGTAAGCTCGCACTCTCTCTCTCAAAAATAAATAAACATTAAAAAGACTTAAAAAAAAACAAACCCAGAATTTCATTCAAATAGCTATGGATTCAAATCTCAGTTCTGATATACTTGTTTTGTGACTTTGGAATGGGGTTAATGGCCATCTCCCAGAGTTATGGAGGGGATTAAATGCCACAAACTAAAGCACCTAGTAAATTTTTAATTCTCAATGAAGGGTAATTATTATAGTCATTACCATCATTCTCCCAGCTTTGAATCCTTTGTCCCTAGAAGCATGTACCTTCCACCCCTTTTCATTTGATTTGTTCATGTTTTCACTCAGTCACAGTATTGTGCATCTGCTTCATGCTTCCGTGTTAAGGGGGGTGGTGATTTGAAGTTGAGTAAGACCTAAATAGTTCACAGTCAGTGGGGAAAGGGAGAGACAAACAGATGAACTGATGGTTATAAAACAGTGCAATCAGTAGACTAAGATAGTGAATATTTTTGGGAGTGGTTAGGGAAGGCTTCCTGAAGGAGGTGCTATCGAAGAAGAGGGTATGTTTGAGGGCCAGAGGTGAGAGAACAGCATGTGCAGGAACTACAAGCAATTCCCTGTGATTGAAGCATCAACTGGCCTCTAGGGGGTGGGAGACTGGTGGGGAGGAGTCTGTGGGTCAGGCTGAAGAACTTGAACTTTACCCTACAGGACAAATAGTAGAGTTTCTGAAGGATTTTAGCAGAAGTCACATTTACTAAAGTTAGATTTACATTTCCCACAGCTCACTGGGATGGGGTTGGGTAAAGAAATGGATTTGAGGGGCTGAGATTGGAGGCTGGATGAACAGCAGTTGCAATCCTTCGGACACAGATGATTTTTTTTTTTTTCCAAATATCATATATAAATATTTTATTTATTTTTTTAACTTTTTTATTTTTTTAAATTTACATCCAAATTAGCATATAGTGAAGCAATGATTTCAGGAGTAGATTCTTAATTTTTTTTTCAATGTTTATTTATTTTTGGGACAGAGAGAGACAGAGCATGAACAGGGGAGGGGCAGAGAGAGAGGGAGACACAGAATCAGAAACAGGCTCCAGGCTCTGAGCCATCAGCCCAGAGCCTGACGCGGGGCTCGAACTCACGGACCGCGAGATCGTGACCTGGCTGAAGTCAGACACTTAACCGACTGCGCCACCCAGGCGCCCCTCAGGAGTAGATTCTTTAGTGTCCCTTACCCATTTAGCCCATCCCCCTCCCATAACCCCTCCAGTAACCCTCTGTTTGTTCTCCATATTTAAGTCTCTTAGGTTTTGTTCCCCTCCCTGTTTTTATATTATTTTTGCTTCCCTTCCCTTGTATTCATCTGTTTTGTCCCTTAAAGTCCTCATATGAGTGAAGTCATAAGATCTTTGTCTTTCTCTGACTGATTAATTTCACTTAGCATAATACCCTCCAGTTCCATCCACATAGTTGCAAATGGCAAGATTTCATTCTTTTTGATTGCCGAGTAATACTCCATTGTATATGTATACCACATCTTCTTTATCCAGTGATCCATCGATGGACATTTGGGCTCTTTCCACACTTTGGCTATTGTTGATGGTGCTACTATAAACATGGGGGTGCATGTGTCCCTTCAAAACAGCACACCTGTATCCTGTGGATTAATCCCTAGTAGTGCAATTGCTGGGTCGTGGGGTAGACCTATTTTTAGTTTTTTGAGGAACCTCCATACTGTTTTCCAGAGTGGCTGCACCAGCTTGCATTCCCACCAACAATGCAAAAGAGATCCTCTTTCTCCACATCCTCGCCAACATTTGTTGTTGCCTGAGTTGTTAAAGTTAGCCATTCTGACAGGTGTGAGGTGGTATCTCATTGTGGTTTCGATTTGTATTTTCCTGAGGATGAGTATTGTTGAGCATTTTTTCATGTGTCAGTTGGCCATCTGGATGTCTTCTTTGGAGAAGTGTCTATCCATGTCTTTTGCCCATTTCTTCACTGGATTATTTGGGGTTTTTTTGGGTGTTGAGTTTGATAACTTCTTTGTATATTTTGGATACTAACCCTTTATCTGATATGTCATTTGCAAATATCTTCTCCCTTTCTGTTGGTTGCCTTTTAGTTTTGCTGATTGTTTCCTTTGCTGTGCAGAAGGTTTTCATTTTGATGAGGTCCAAGTAGTGCATTTTTACTTTCGTTTCCCTTGCCTCTGGAGATGTGTTGAGTAAGAAGTTGCTGCAGCCAAGATCAAAGAGGTTTTTGCCTGCTTTCTCCTCGAGGATTTTGATGGCTTTCTGTCTTACATTTAGGTCTTCCATCCATTTTGAGTTTATTTTTGTGTATGGTGTAAGAAAGTGATCCAGGTTCATTTTTCTGCATGTCGCTGTCCAGTTTTCCCAGCACCACTTGCTGAAGAGACTGTCTTTATTCCATTGGATATTCTTTCCTGCTTTGTCAAAGATTAGTTGGCCATACATTTGTGGGTCCATGTCTGGGTTCTCTATTCTGTTCCATTGATCTGAGTGTCTGTTCTTGTGCCAGTACACAGATGATAAATATTTAGGAGATACGGCTGTATTGGTGGGGTGGGGATGGGGTGAAGGAGAGGGAGAATAACAGCGGTTGCCCAATAAATATTTGTTGAAAAGATGGTTTTATGGTAGTGATGCTATTATCTGAGAAAGAATGGGAGGGACAGTTTGGGGGGTAGAGAGTGAATCACTTTTGATGGTTTTTGAAACAGTTCAGAGATGTCTATCGAACAGCTGCCTGAAGACGTCCCTTAGACAGGTGGAAGTAGGAGGGAGAGAAGGACTGAAGTTTATCAAATGACAGTCGCAAGTGAGGAGTGAGTGGGTGAGATTCTGTGAGGGTGGGTAACCTGATAGGTAACCAGCCAGTATCTCCCCCAAGCCCACAGCGCCAGGCGTGGTGTGAGCAAGGTTGCCAGCGGTGGGTTCATGGCGGCAGGGGGCGCACTCGGATTCAAGGACATGAAAGGGGAGGCTGTTGAGGCTCCCAGAGCCCTGGAATAAGCCAGCTCCCAAAGCGAGCCGAGGGAGACCAAGCTGAATCTGGGGGAGCCCGAGGGTCCTCAGAGATCGGGCTGGCAACTCCGATCCGGAAGACGCATCTGGGCTGCTGAACCTCCCCAGTGCCGGGGCTCCATCCCCCTGCCCTAGCAGTCCTGGGGGCAGGTCCAGCTCTGATCAGACTGGAAGCCCAGAGTCCTCCCGATTCCACGCGCTTTCCCCGAGGCGCTGCCCGCCGCGTCACCAGAGAGGGCCCTTAAAGGAGACGTCCGGGACTGGGGCGTAAGGGGGTGGTGGCGGCGCAGGACAATGGGGATGGGATGGACAACTCTGGGTAGGGGTCCCCAAGGGGACCAAGGACAGCAGGAACGGGTGGGCGAGGGATCAGTGGATGGGAGAAAACCGTCCTAGGGTATAGACAAGCCCCAAACTCCCACCTAGGGATCCCCCAAGAGCATCTTCTAGGGATCGGGCAGATGGCACCCAGGAGAAGGGTCGATGAATCAGGAGAGCAGGGAAGAGGCATAGCACGCCTGCACAGGAGTCCGGGGATCCGGGATGTGCAGACAGCGCCTGGATGGAGAACACTGGGGACAGGAGAACGAGAAATCAGAACACAAAGCCCGGGGATGGCAGCGTTGCGTGGGAGAGGCAATGGAGACGGCAGGAGCGAACGACCCACACGGAGCCAGGGCATCGGGACGTGGCGCCCAGGACAGAGGGGAAGCTGGGGACTATGTAGCGGGCTGGAGTAGAACGGAGTGCAAGAGCCCAGCCGGGTGTGCGAGGGAGGCAGGCATGCAGTCCACCAGAACATCCACAGAGGGGACCGAACCCAGGGTCAGAGCTTCGGAGTAAGGCTCTAGAGAGACGCTGGGGCAATGCCCCGGGGAATTCCCAGCCCGGCTGTTACTCCAGTTTAAGGCAGCAGTAGCAGTAGAGGCAACCCACCGCTGCCCCCGGCCCGCCGCCCCCCCCCCCCCCCCCAGCTCTCTTGTTTGTCTCTCAAGTCCGGCCGGAACCGGCTTCTGCTCGCCGCCGGGCGGGCGGGTAGCTGCTGATTGGCCAATGCCTGTTTCCAGCCCCCACTCAGCCAATCAGCGTGCGACAGTGTTTTCGTCTTGGGGTCGAAATAAAAGCTCTGGAATAAAAGGAGACAGAAAAGGCGCCGGCCGGGCCCGATACACGCTAGTAGAAGCCGGGTGAGCTGAATCTTGGGGCTCTGGGAGAAGGTGCTAGGGGGACAGAAGGCGCACGAATAGGGGCATAGGGAGAAGATGTATAACTATGAGAGGAAACAGATTGGATGAAGGTCTGCCAGGGAAGAGATGACGAATGGAGGAGGCAGCTCGGAGATGGAGGGACGGGGGGGTCCGCTTCCATGGGAACAGACTAAATGGCGCGGAAGCAGCCGGAATGGGGGTCGTGCAGGTGGCTCGCGCCGCCGGTTTGAACCGGCTTCGCCTCTCCCATGCGGGGTTCGCGTGGCCGCAGCGCCTAGCGACCTAGACAGCGGCCAATGGCGCAGCAGTTCCTAGCCGTCCAGCCTATGAGGGGGCCGGGGGCGGGCCGTTCCGGATTCCCTGCGCTGATCTTGTGGTTGAAGGAACCAGCTCTGGGGAAGGGTCTCGAGTGCGGGCGGGAGGGCTCCTGTCAGGGTCCCAGGGAGTGGCAGTCCTCAGGTATGGCCCTGCCCAGGTATCCGGACCTGAAGGTGCCTCCCCTGACAGTCCCCAAGCTATGTCAGTCCTGCGGAGAGCCAGGATTAATTCCACGTCCCTGAGCATGCGTTAGTCCCTCCTGTTTTCATGCTTCAGGTTTCCTCGGGATGAGCCAAGGGAGAGGTCTCCTTGCCTGGCCGGGGCCGCTGTCCCGTAGCTGAGGGCAGACGTACGAGCCAGCCGCGGACAGGTTGGCCTGGGACCCAGGCAGGGCTGGGGCTTCCTTCGCTGTGCGCACCCACGGTCCGGGCCACGGAGGGGTGACAAGCTGCGCGCGCTGCGGCAGCGGCCCGGGTTGGCCACACAGGCTGGGCAGGGCCGGACGCTGACGCTGACTGGGGTCTGTGTGCAGGTGGCTGCAGAGCCGGAGCAGGGCCGCCGCGCCGCGCCATGGCGCCCACCCTGGCCACTGCCCATCGGCGCCGCTGGTGGATGGCCTGCACAGCCGTGTTGGAAAACCTCCTCTTCTCGGCAGTCCTCCTGGGCTGGGGCTCGCTGCTCATCATGCTCAAGTCGGAGGGCTTCTACTCATACCTGTGTACTGAGCCAGGTGAGACGGGCGTCTCGGGCTCGGGGTGGTTCCCGGAGTGGGAGCTTTGGGAGAGGGCGAGATGGCAGTGAGGACCCGGCCCGCAATACCGCCTCGCTGCGCAGCGCCTCCCATTTAGCAAAAGCCCCATTTGATCGTCAGCCAGCTCAGCTGGGTACATATCATTGCCCCTGTTTTGTGGGTGAAGAAACTGAGGCTCAGACAGATCTGCTGACTTGTCCAAGGCCACACAGTTGAGGACTCTGGTAGTTCCAGAACCTCCAGGTCCGGGATGTTCTTTCTGCCACCTAGGAACCTTGCTGGATTTCTCTCCTCCTGGTGTCTGGCGTATCACTTGACTTGAACTAAATATGTTGCTCTCTGACTGTGAGAAAGAGGAACTCCTGACTCAATGGTTGGGGTGCAGCAAGAGAGAGAGGAAGTGGCTTGGCCTCCACCCCATCGAAGTTTCGTCTAGAATCTAGATGTTTTTTAGGCCATTATGGAGTCTCTTAAGGGCATGTCAGCTACAATTTCTTGTCTGTTTTTGCTGCTTTATGATTTTCCAAAGGACATTTCTCCCACAGGCCATGAGAATGTCTCTGTGGCCTTCTATCTGCCTATCATGGTAGGGGAAGGCAAGGGGAGTATTTAAGGAAATAACACTAGTTCTGTCCTCTCCCTTTGCTGCATCATTGGTGTTGCTGAACGCAGGTTGAGGATGCTTGTCTACAAGGAGTGTAACCCCCACTCCTACCCTCACATGCCCCCTGACCCTGTTTAAGGATCCTAATTGCTATAGGCCAGTAGATTAAGCCAAGAAGTGGGACCCAAGTCCCCACCTCTACCCTGCATCCCCTTTCTTAGGTAACCTTGATAGGAAATGTTTCCCTCTGCCCTCCTGTTGTCCCCGACAGGGGCTATCTAATAGTTGAACTCTGGAATATCTCTTCCCAGTTCCTTTGTCAGCCAACCCCTGTGCGAGTCCCCTTAGAGGGAGATAGCTTAAGTCTGTCCCTCTGAATCACACCGCTGGCATGCCTTTTCTTCCTAGAGTTCTAAATTGAGGGGGAGAGAAAACTTTGGACCAGCTCACGCTGCCTGGAACCCCATGTAGAATCCTCCTTGTTTCCCTCTCCTGACAGTCCCAGGAGATCCCCAAGTGTTTCAGTCTCTAGGCAAGCTTTGCGGGACAAGTTTAGAGCAGGAGAAATGGAGGAGATGTAGAGGCCACCTGGGAGAGAGGACAGAGAGTATGTCATTTATAACCTTTAGCCTTTAGCTACTCAGAAATATTTCCAATAGCCTAAAGGTTCTTGGCAGAACTTTCCCCACATCAGCAAGAAATCTTGGGAGATGGGAGAGTCATTCAGACCTTGTTCCTTGAACGAGCTTTCTGCTTTGCCCAAGAGATGTTAGCAGATTAAGGACTATCTGGAAGGAGCAGGTTGGAGTGTTTGGCTCCTTCCCCGCCCTCCTGCTTTAGATCATGACCCTTCCTGCTTGCCTCTTTGATGGATTCTTTCAAGGTACAGCGAGGGTTTTAAGAACAGCAAGAAACATCATCATCCCCAGATGAAGCTTTTAGCATCTCGTCCAGACTGAGGGACTGTTGTGGTCGATTTTTTTTTTTTTTTTTTTTTTTTTGGACCTCTTGTGGAAGGTCCGATTCTAGGGTTTTATCCCCCAGATTGTCCACTGCTTAATTATTTTATGGTATTGGCAGCATCGAGGCTGGTCATTTCATTCCTGCCTCGACCTTGGCTTCTTCCTTCGTTAAAATGGGAGGAGTCCTGGAGATTGTGCCGACACAGTGCTGAGTTGGTGTTTAAGCCCTAGAGAGGCTTGACCCGTCCCTTCTATAAAGCAAAGTGAAGGTGAAGGGTCAGGTTGTAGGTTGAACATCAACTTCTTATCCCGTGCCTTTGCTCCTGCCTTTGATTTTGTTTTTTCTGACTACCTGGCAAACCTGCTGACCCAGCATCCTTGACGGACAGGCCTGCCGGTTCCACTTAGCTTATCTCTGGCCTCGCTGCTCCTGGCTTCTTGGAGTCCAAGTAGCCTGTTGCCTTTGGGGGCCAGGAGTCTCCTCCATGCCTAACTGGGAGTGTCTGGAGGATTTAGGGTCAAGGTTTCTGCTTAGGCCTAATATTTTCAAACTTGGTAGGTGGCTGAACTACACAGAAGCCTTTGGGCCATTTATTGAATTAGACTGTGAAAAACATACTGGTCTACATCTGATTGAGATGCAAATTTGTCAGCTTTTGGTTGCTTTTAGGACCTTTGATTTAGTTTGTTCTCTAAAGAAAATTTGCCTGAACCTGTTGAAAGCTTCTTGGGACTCCAGCCAGAATCTCACCACAGACACGGTGTTGGGTTCCAGCAAAGTGAGGTGGGAGAAGGAAAGAAAATGCGCGTTTCTCTGTTGCCTCTCAGCTCTTTTTGCCTTGCCCACCAGACAGGATTGATAAGGACTGGGGGTGGGCCTTTGGGCTTTGCCTCCTGGTGTGGATAGGAAGCTGACTGGCTTCCCAGCCCGGGAAGAACAGGGCTTTTCCAGAACCGTATCCTTCTGGCCTCCGGATGGCTGTCATACCTACCCACTCTTGACCTCTTTCTTCGTTCTCTCTGTCATCTGATGGCCCTCTTGGACAGGGTCAGATCAGGGGGCTGTTAATCTCCTCTTCCTCTAACCTCCACGTTCAGTAAACATTTAATTGAGGTGCTGTGCTGGGGGTGTAGAGCAGTCCCGAGGGAGTCTGTAGTCTGCCAGCATTAAACACACAGACCATATAATTCCAAGAGGCGGTCAGAACTCCAGTGGAGAGCAGGGTGCCAGGAAGGAGAGCCACAGAGGGCACCTGGTTCAACTTGGGTGTCAGGGCCTCTCTGATGTTTAGGGGGCCAAGAGGGGTGAGTTGGGAGAGGAGGGGGCAAGGAGAGTGGGAAGGAGCCAAGGCCCATTGGGCCTAGGAGGCCACTTGGGGAAGTTGGATTTTATTTAATTAATTAATTATTAAAAAAAATTTTTTTTAATGTTTTTATATTTTATTTTTGAGACAGAGCATGAGCATGAGCAGGGGAGGGACAGAGAGAGAGAGGGAGACACAGAATCCTAAGCAGGCTCCAGGCTCTGAGCTGTCAGCACAGAGCCTGATGTGGGGCTCAAACCCATGAACCGTGAGATTCTGACCTGAGCCGAAGTCGGACGCTCAACCAACTGAGCCACCCAGGCGCCCCGGGAAGTTGGATTTTATTCTCAAGGCAGGAAGAAGAGACAGAGGCAGAAGAGGGTGACCATCACGTTCACCTATTAGATTCTTAAAAATTGTTGAGGTCTTGCCACATTCTGGGCGTGGGGTGGGGGATGGAGTCGCGGCCTCTGCCTGAGGAAGTCTCAGTCCAGCTCCTCCGTGGATGCCGAGGCAGATCCCAGTTCTGTGCTCTTGACCACTGCAGTCTCTCTGCCTGTGGTGGCAGGGGAGCTGAACCCCTCACGAAACAAAGCTGGGCCCTGAAGGGGCAGAGGTGCTGCTGTCACAGCAGGGAAGCAGAGCCAGGACTGGTCCCCTGCAGGTGGGCTGAAGCTGCAGATGTGGACAAGAGACATTCCCTGTTGCTTAGAGACCCTCTTTTAACGGTCTCTGCCTCACTCAAAGGCTGCTGGCCTTTGATAGCTTTTGAAAACCCACCCTTTTACTTGTATTGCTATGAATGTGACTGTTTCCATCCCTCCCACAGCCCCCCCCCCCCCCGGCCAGTGTATTTTGGATTAAAAAAAAAAAAAGTATTCTGTAGCAACGGGTAAGGTCTAAAGGCTGGTGCCCTCGGCCTCAGGATGCATCACAGAAAGGAGCTGGCGCCCTCAGCGTCCCTTCCTACCACCCCTGCCTTCCTCCTGCCCATTTCATGACCCAGTTTCCCTCCCCCACATCCGCTGGCCCCACCTGCCTTCGTGGTGTTGCATTAAGGTTCTGTTCAGCTTGGGTTGTCTTTCAGGGAGGATCTTGGGGACAGTCCCATTCACACTAGGTGTCATTAAGAGCCACCTGGTGCTGTCCCCGACACTGTGATAGCCTTGGGCTGTCTCCATTCCCTCAGCATATTTTCTCTGAAATGCCTCTAACTCAGGTGGTACAGCATCAGCACAGCCTGAAGGTTAAAAGCAGGAACTTTGGGGTCTGGCAGCCTGGATTCAAGTTCAGCTTCCCCATAATGTACTGTCTGGGAGACCTTGGGCAAGCAACTTGCTGGTGTCCTCGTGTGGCGTCTGGGTGGGGGTGAGAGGGCACTGAGTGAAACAGAACGAATACCACTGAATATAGCAGCCAGCATACACAGGCACTCCGGGACCGCAGCAAGGGGCTAGGCCCTGGCCTCCCCACGATGGCCCTCTGTCTGTGTCCTGCCTTTTGTTTGCTCTGTGTCTGAGACTGACCTCTCACCTACATCCCCCTGTTGGACTGAGATGCTGCTTCCTGTTGCCGGATAGACTAAGGATTTGGGAGACAGACAGGAGATCCTGGGGCAGGGACCATCAGCAGGGACGTCCAGGGGCCTGCATCCTGGGTGGATGGCCCAGTGAACAGCCAGTCAGAGAAGGGGGCTGCTCACAAATTTGGAGGGGTCTCCAGCCCCGTGTCCCTCGCTCCCTTAAGCATCATGCAGCCAGCTGTTCTGTTCCTCATTCCCTTTGTTTCTCTGGGGCGGGGGGAGCTCCCTCTTTGACCCAGAGATGTCAGGGGAACCTGAGTGGGGTCACAGCACCCCCTTTTGTCCCCTACTTTCACTGTGCAGATTGTGTGCGAGTCTTCTGGGAGGAGGGCTGAACAGTGCAGGCTTTGTTCTCTCTTCCCTGCCCCTAAGCAGCCTCGAAGCTATTTTCTCAGCACACTCGGGCCACACCAATTCCTTGCCAGTCCTCTTGATTCACCTTTCCCTGCTGGGCTGGGCCAGGCCAGGCCACCCTGGCCGCCCACTGCAGAGACATCTGTTTGATAAACAGGTGCAAGTGAGGTGCAGAGCAGGCCGGTTTGGAGTGAGGCCTGAGCTCTAGTCTGGGAGCAGAGGGGCACCCCAGGGCTTGACACTTCCTCTGTGCTTATCTGTTTGTGTCTTTCCTGGCCCACGGTGGCCCAGGTGAGAGCAGAGGGAGAGGAACAGCTTGGGTGTGGCTGTGTTTGGGCATCTCCTGGATCTGTGACTATTCACGTGGACTGTTTACTGCCAACAAAGCTTCTGGGCTCACCGAAGATTTAGTCCCCTCTAGGAGCAAGGGACACTTTTGAATTGCTTCATGGGCAGACGAAGAGAGGCCACTGGGACCCCCCACCCCAGGCTGACCTGTTGCTGGACATCCCTGCCTAGAGGCAGGAGGGCAGAGGGCCAGGCAGCCCTGTTGGCAGGGAATTTTTTAAGGAGAGAAAGCCAGTGGCCCAAGGTGTGTAAGGTCCCTGCTCCTGTGTGCAGTGATTGTAAGATGAAAGATGGGGGACAGATATCCTTCCCCCTGGTGTTGCCTTTCTCCTTATGAGCTTCTCTGTCTAGCCATCTCTAAATAATTCGAGATGTTTCCGTGGACATCCCCAGTTATGGCAAATCAGGGAGACTGCTTTGGGTACATTGCCTTGGGATTTATCTTCTCTCTGTTGGTGAGTATCATCATGGATTTAGGAGTCCAGCTCTGGGGAAACTGAGGGTGGACACCCTGGGGCCTCTACCCAGAGATGGTGCTGCCTGGCTCCATCAGTTCCCAGTCCAGCTCTGGCTCCCTGCCTGTAGCAGCAGATCCTGACGTGCTCCCGAGTCCTGAGTTATTTTGTGTCATTTATTTATTTATTTATTTATTTATTTATTTATTTATTTTTAATGTTTATTTATTTGTGAGAGAGAGAGAGCACGCGCACATGTGTGAGCAGGGGAGGGTCAGAGAGAGACGGGACAGAGGATCTGAAGAGGGCTCTGCCAGCAGCGAGCCCGATGCGGAGTTTGAACTCACTAACCGAACCGTGAGGTCACGACCTGAGCCGAAGTCGGACACTCAGCCGACTGAGCCATCCAGGCCATTTTGTGTCCTTCAGTGCCGTCATGGGCTCCAGACCCTGCATGGCCGCAATCAGCATTCGCCAGCCAACGATCCTGGGCCCTGAGGGGCCTTCTGCACCCATCCAGCCTGTCACACGTGTGCTGCTTTGCCCCTATCTGCACACCAACGTGGGGATGGCCGTTGCTGTGTGGGGACCCTGTCCTCCTGCTTCCTGTTGCTGCTGGCCGAGCTGTCACCAGAAACCAGTGCCAGCCTGTGAGGCAGCCCGGCCTCTGCCGAGGCTATCCCACAGTGGATGAGCGGCTCGGGCCCGCTGGCTAAGGCAGGGTGTGTGGTGGTTCTGACCCGGACGCTGATGGACTCAGATGATCCTGTTTGTCCTGTGTTTGGGCTGTCAACATGGTGGGGCCTCCTTTGGAAAACTGGAAGTGGCAGAGATTGGGGGTGGGGGGAGAATCTGGCGTGCTGGGTCTTGTCTCTGTGGCTTTAGGAGGTTAGCAATGTGCCTGTCATCTCCGTGCGTCCCCTCTATTTTCATGGTTCCGTATGTCCTAGTTCCTTTCTTCTCTCTGGGGCCTTTTGGCTGTTGTGATCTGACTCCGTTGTTTTCATTCATTCAGTAAATAGCTACCATACACCAGGATCTGGGTGAGGTGCTGGGGACACGGCCCCCAGCCTAACAGGCGACTAGATGCAAATTCATGCTACGCACACACAGTTATGGGACCCTGCACCCAGTTACTTTGTCCGGCTCCGCCGCCACCCAGGTGCACCCTCCCAGGACTCCCATGATAGTAATAATAATAACTCATAACTATTGTTCATTGAGTACTTTCTACGGCCATGTGAGCCCCAGAGCGTTATCTGGATTTTCTCATTTATCTCCCGGGCAGACTCTAGGAGGTAGATACTGCTATTACGTTACGCCATTTTACACATAAAGAAACTGAGATAGAGTGGGATTAGGTCACTTTTCTGAGGTTATACAAGTAGGAAGTAGAGACACCAAAATTGGAACCCAGAGGCCAGGTTGTAGCACCTCACCCTCAACCTGTGTGCCCCCAGCAGGGCTTGTTGGTTAGGAGGTTGGCATATAGCATGATTCACCTTAAGTGCATCCTTTTCCGTGACCCTGGGGCAGCCCTGAGAGGCCTGGGCAGGCCTTTGCAGCCCTCAGCTTTATAGCCCTGGCGCCAGAGGGCCGCAATCCGGAGTCAGGCAGTTATCTGGAGAGAGGTGTTTCCTTGACTCTCCCGGTGTGACCTCGCATCTAATCAGAGGCTGCTCCTCGTGGGATTAGTCAGCATCTCTTAACTAGCAGTCAGGGAGGGAGGGCTTCTGTGCCGCCTTCCGGCCTGCACTCCACCCTCCAGCCCTCAGCTGCTTCAGTGCTTCTTCCTCCCTAGTTTTTGTTGTCTTGGTGCTGGGTGGATTTTGGAGAGGCCGTTAAGGGCTGAGATTGCAGCTCAAGATTGTGGTCACAGGGGACAGCAACACTTGACCCCCAGCAAGAAAAATAAGAAAGGTGAACCTCAACGAGTGAAAGCAAGTAACTTGGGACTGTTTTAAAAAAATCTTTCCTGGGGTGCCTGGGTGGCTCAGTCGGCTGAGCGACCGACTTCCGCTCAGGTCATGATCTCACGGTTTGTGAGTTCGAGCCCCGCGTCGGGCTCTGTGCTGACAGCTCAGAGCCTGGAGCCTGCTTCTGATTCTGTGTCTCCCTCTCTCTCTGTCCCTCCCCTGCTCATGCTCTGTCTCTGTCTCAGAAATAAATAAATATAAAAAAAAAAAATTAAAAAAAAAATCTTTCCTGGGGTGCCTGGGTGGCTCAGTCGGTTAAGCGTTCGACTTCGGCTCAGGTCATGATCTCACGGTTTGGGGGTTTCAGCCCCGCATCAGGCTCTGTGCTGACAGCTCAGAGCATGGAGACTGCTTCAGATTCTGTGTGTCTCTCTCTCTCTGACCCTCCTCCGCTCACTCTCTTTCTCTGTCTCTCAAAAATGAATAAACATTAACACATATGTTTTTTTTAATTGAAAAAATAAAAAAACCTTTCCCAGGGATTCTGTGACACAGTATGTGTGGTGGTCGATGCTGTGAAAATACCCGGGGGAGGTAGCAGGTGTAGGTATGAGAAGTCTCCTGTACTTAGCAGTAAAGGAGACCCGCTCACTCTTCCCTTTGGTTGACTGAGGAGAACCGGAGTGTTGCGGTGAGACCAGCAGCCTGTGCTTGCCAAGTGATCTAGGATCGACTGCCTACATACTGGCTGCTGTCCTTTTCCAGGGACAGAGCTGCTGAGGAGGTTTTAGCCCACCTGCGGCCCCACAGCCTACACTGGGTCCTGAGGCCTATTCTTCCAGAGCATAGGTTACTCTAGAATGGGACTCCCAAGCTGGGGCTTGTGTGTTTCAAGGGACACATAAATCTCCTCACACTGTGGACAAGACTTCACATGCATTTTCTGAGGAGCAGGAGTAGAGCCTCCTCCGTTGGATTCTCCAAAGGGTTTGTGCCCTCCACAAAAGACCAGGGCCTCCACCTTATCGCTCCAGGGGGCTGGGGCCAGATGGACAGCCACACCTGCTGTGGGGGAGCCAGAGCCAGCCCTGACATTTCCAGTGGGGTCTGAATGTGCATTTGCCCTCTGATCTTTGGGAATCCTGGCCTCAACCCTGTGGTCAAGTTTCCCTCCTTCTGCACACACAGAGAATGTCACCAACGGCACAGTGGGGGACACGGAAGAGCTGGAGCACGAGGAGGTCAGCTGGATGAATGGCTGGCTCAGCTGCAAGGCCCAGGATGAGATGCTAAACTTGGCCTTCACCGTAGGCTCCTTCCTGCTCAGCGCCATCACCCTACCTCTAGGCATCGTCATGGACAAGTATGGCCCGAGGAAGCTCAGGCTGCTGGGCAGGTCAGTGCAGGGGTTGGGGGTGGGCAGGTGGGACTCCTGGGGCTGAGGTCCCCACTGTAGGGAATCCTTGTACCTGCTATCAGATGCACGGTGGACCTCCCTAAATGCCCACCCGGAGTGGTCTTCCTACTCATTCCACCACCAAATCAGTAGGTCCTGTGATCCTTGAGACATGCCAATACTGCATAAAAAAGGATCAGGGCCCCAGGCCCGCCTGGGAGGGTTTGGAGTTGCTTATCATTAAGAACATTGGTTTCCACCATCTTTTTGACCTCTCCCATCAGAAAAAAAAGATTTTGAACATGTACGTCCAATATAAGCATGGAATTATCAATTATATACACATATGCCATTTTTAATGTTTTATGTTGCTTTGATGCATGTACAAAAAAAATGTCAATTAAAGTGGCTAAGATTAAAAATGATAAAATAGTTTCAATTTTTAAAAATTGCAAAAAAAAAAAAAAAATCACTGAATTCCAGTCCTGAAACCAATATTGCACTGTATGTTAGCTAGCTAAAATTGAAATTTAAAAAAATTTTGCAAAAAAAAAGTGATAAAGCAGAAGTCCTCCTGTTTCCATCACCCCCCGGCACTGCAGTGGTTCATCTTGTGCACTTCCTGATATGGTCCGTAAAGCTCCAGTCTGCCAGACTCAGGGTCAGTCCACCAAGAAGCTAGCCCTCTCAGGCCAGCATCCTCCCCAGACCAGGCCCACTGGGAACGATCACAATGCAGGGCAGTGGTTTGCAACGGGTGAGGCCTGTGACCGTGAAGGGCATGGGTAGGAGATCAGTTTCACTCATTCTTTGGAGCTTGAGAGGCCTCTGTCCCCAGGATGGAGCCAGGCATCCAGGACTCAGAAACTGCCATTATCTCCCTCATGCTCAGTGCGGTTCTGTTCCTCCCCTGGCATGACGGGCAGAGGAATCTGGAGAATGGATTGTGCTCTCTCTCACTTCAGAGCTTTGGCCTCTCCAGTCTGAGGATGGGAGGGGAAGACACAGGAGATAGTGGTATTTACCAGATCTGCCTTCGGGCCTTGAATTGCAGTTTAAGACACCTCCTAGCTATGAGACTTTTGAGAATGTAATTTGTTTGTTTTTTTCTTTCTTTTTGTTTTATTTTCTTCATGAGTAAAACGGAGCCAATTATACTCCTTAGAAATGTTAAATTAAATGAGAGAATGTATATACATTTTCTGAAAACATCTGACCTATGGTAAATACTTCCATATAACACTATTTACAATAATAATAAATAATGTACTATTTCTGCTTGTTTTTAGTGCCTGCTTTGCTGTCTCCTGCTTGCTGATTGCATATGGAGCAAGTAACCCAAACTGTGAGTATGCTTTTCCTCTACTCTTTGGTCAGGGACTGGAGAGAGAGTGCCCAGAGGTGCTCACAGGTCCATCTGCTCTAGGAAGCCATGCTAGGGCTTACTGCTCAAATTAGAGGGTATGCCTGTTAGGCCTTCACGCAGTTACTTATCTCAAACGGGTGGCTGGGTAAGACAGCAGTCCCCCAGACAGACGTCTGAGAGAAGCTCCCGGGGTGTACCGTGCTCCCATCTCATCACAAGCCAAGCCAGTCCCTGATGGCTTCATTGATGCCAACCCCAGACAAGTTCTAAGAACCAGGCTAGCTGAGGGGTGTGTCCAGAAGTTGGGAGCTGAGTCCCCTGAGGCAGCCTAGGCCAGCACTGTGAAGTTGGCTTAAAAGCTGGGACACCTCGGGGGCGCCTGGGTGGCTCGGTCGGTTAAGCGTCCGACTTCGGCTCAGGTCACCATCTCATGGTTTGTGGGTTCGAGCCCTGCTTCAGGCTCTGTGCTGACAGCTCAGAGCCTGGAGCCTGCTTTGGATTCTGTGTCTCCCTCTCTCTCTGCCCCTCCCCTGCTCACACTCTGTCTGTCTGTCTCTCTTTCTCAATTAAAAAAAAAATTAAAAAAAAAAAAAAAAAAAGCTGGGACACCTGACTGGCTCAGTCAGAAGAGCGTGCAACTCTTGATCTCAGGTAGTGAGTTCAAGCCTCAAGTTGGGCATAGAGCCTACATTTTTAAAAAATGGCTTAGAATCCAACTGGTCCCCAACCCTGTTTAGGTAGAGCTGTTGCTTCAAAGACTTTCAGAACAAATACCAAAATAGAACTTGGGTTTCATCAAAATCTTAGCTGGGCTCATCTACTGATTTTTGAAGACCCGTATTTTTGGGGCGCCTGGGTGGCGCAGTCGGTTAAGCGTCCGACTTCAGTCAGGTCACGATCTTGCGGTCCGTGAGTTCGAGCCCCGCGTCGGGCTCTGGGCTGATGGCTCAGAGCCTGGAGCCTGTTTCCGATTCTGTGTCTCCCTCTCTCTCTGCCCCTCCCCCGTTCATGCTCTGTCTCTCTCTGTCCCAAAAATAAATAAACGTTGAAGACCCGTATTTTTGGTTTCGGTGAAGCAGCTTCTTTGGGCCTCTGGCTTGCTCTAAGGTTAATGGAGAAAGGAAGGGGTGGCGTCAGACCTTTAGCAGGAGTCCAAGTCCTGTAAAATCAAAGAGGAGGGGGGTGAGGAGGAAGAGGCTGTTCCAGCTCCCCCTCCCCAGGTGTCCGGCGCTAGCCCCCGATGGCCCGTCGTCCATTCTGCTTGCTCTCTGCGAGGCAGTGGGCCAGGCCTCCCTGAAGCTCAGCCGTGGTTCCCGGCTGATGAGCCTTCTGTTTCCTTCCAGCTCTGTCTGTGCTCATCTTCATCGCCCTGTCTCTGAATGGCTTTGGTGGGATGTGCATGACTTTCACCTCGTTAACAGTAAGTATTGATTTTTTAAAGCTCTCTCGTTTGGTCATCTCCTTGTGAATCTGAGGCAGCTTTTATTGGCTTCAGTTGCCCTGCTTTCCGTTGGCCTACCTGTGCCTGGACATCCCAAGCAGGAGAGGCTGCTGGTGATGAAGCGGCCTAGCAAAGCCAGTCATGGCCTCCCGGGCTGGGAGGTTCCGGAGGCAGGCAGAGCACAACTCTCGGAGTGAGCCCATCCCCTGCCTTCTGATCTTGGCTTAGGTACTGAGGAAGCCACCTCACTAGCCACGTACCCAGAGAAGACAGGAGCAGGAAGGAAAAAAGCTGTTGCCCACTTTCTTTCCTCTCCTTTTCCATGGCAACTCTGGCTAATAGTGCACTCTAGAAACAGTCCTCCCTTGGAATCTCCTCGCCCTTCACCATTGCCTTTGTCCAGAATGGAATGGAAAGCTCAGGGGAGTACCCGGCTGCGTCTCTTCTTGGTTTTCTACATGCCAGGGCACAGCGAGCCGACCTGAGGAGGGAGATGTTTTCTTGGGATGCTTGAGCGCCTACCTTACCTATAGCAGTGGAACACCACAGAATGTGTTTCTTTTTGAGGTGAGAGTGGTTGCAGGAAGGTCCAGGTTGAAAGAAAGAGAGTCAAAGAAGGCCAAACATGTCTTCCCCAGGAAGACGAAGGGAGCTCTCTGCAGGCTTGCCCTTCAGAGCTGGCTGATGGGAAAGAAGTGAGAATACTACGTTTCTCAGAGAGATTTCCACCCGACAACAAAGTCTGGCTTGCCTTAGTTTCCCCGTGAAAAACTTATATGATGTAATATCTACTGTCGCCATTCGCAGGGCACTCTGGTTTCTGATTTCCCTTTCTACTAGTGAGTCGAGTCATGCTATTGAGGGGCCCTGGGACTGCTGGTCTTCTTGGAAGGAGCTTAAATAGGTAGCTGGCATCTCCATGACCCCTCTACCTGCAGGCTGTGAGCCCATGGCCAGGCCCAGCCCAGGGCCTATCCTGTTCACTTTGCCTTATTAACTTTGTCCTGGTGGGAAGGGGTAACCGTCTGGTGGAGGCACATGGAAATGGGGAGTTCAGAGAGATCTGTGTTGGGTGAGAAAGGCACAGCACAGGGCTGTGTATGTGGGATGCTCAGGGTGTGGGTGACAACTCGGGTGTGGGTGACATGCACAAATCTGGGAACTCTGCTTGCCTTGCCCTCTGTGACAGGAGGGAGATTTACTCTGTACTCTTTTGTGCATTTTTATTTCTGTTTTTTTTTTTTTTAATTTTTTTTTTTAACGTTTATTTATTTTTGAGACAGAGAGCCAGAGCATGAATGGGGGAGGGTCAGAGAGAGAGGGAGACACAGAATCCGAAACAGGCTCCAGGCTCTGAGCAGTCAGCACAGAGCCCGACGCAGGGCTCAAACTCACGGACCGTGAGATCATGACCTGAGCCAAAGTCGGATGCTTAACCGACAGAGCCACCCAGGCGCCCCAGGTCCCCAGTCTTTCTGATTTGTGATGATGCTAAGGTGCACACCCCCGTATGTATATTTCTGTAAAATAAACTCCCAGAAGTGGGATTGCTGGTCTTCCCCATACTGGTTCTGGTGGACCAGCAGGAGTAAGAGTGGCCCTTTCTCCACACCCCTTCCTGTGCCCTGTTATTAGTCTTTTAAACATTAGCCAGTCTGATCTGGTGAAAATGATATACCATGATTTTTTATTAATTTGCCTTTAATTGTTTACGAGGCAGAACATCTTTCCACCTCTTTTTTTGTGATCTTTTGTATTCTGTGAATTGCTTCTTTGTGCAATTTGTCTGTTTTTCTACAGGTATGTTGATCTTTTTTAAGTGTTTTGTAAGAGCTCTTTTGTATATAAAAAAAAAAAATTAGCTCTCTTTTTGGAGTGAGCGAGGGATCTTCCCCTAGGGTTTTGAGGCCTCCGGGTGATCATGAATAAACTTAAGGAGGACTGTACACCCCCTTAAAGTTGTATGCAAGCAAATTGTGTGTGCGTTTCTCCGCGGGAGGGTCTGTTGCCCTCATCAGCCTCTAACGGGTCTGTGTGTTAACACAGACCAAAAGCACTCACAGTCCAAAAGCACTGTAGCGGGAGCACTCCCATTGGCTCCTCACCCGCCCACTGGGAGGTCAAAGGTACAGAGGATACAGAGTGACCAGGCAAGAAAACCATCTGATTGTTACCTAAAGTGTTTGGTTAGCAGCTGTCTGTTTAAGGGAGGCTGGTGGCTTGTCTCCTAAGGTCTCCATTCTTGTGTCTAGAGCAGGGGTTAGCACACTGCTGCCCCTAGGCCAAATCCAGACCACTGCTGGGTGTGGGGCAACCGATCAGGTAGAGGCCAGGTGGAAGCCGGAGGCAAGGGCAGGGAAAGAATTCACCCAAGGCAGAACAAAGGAGATGGGAGTTTATTGAATACACTGCAAGGGAGCGGTGGGTGAACAGCCAAGGAGAGACATCTGCCAGGAGGCAGTGGTGGGGGGCTGTAGTTAAGGTGGGGAGTGAGGAGTTATGGGAATGTATGCTCCTTCTTCGGCACCTGTGCCCAGTTGTAAGTGGCCCATTGGTCAGCTGGGAGTTATGGCTATTTTGAGGTGGGTCACCTAATGGGCCTGTTTGTACTCAGCCCAGTGGTCACCGTGCGCCCTTTTCCCTTACTCAGGTTTCCATTGCTCAAGCCTGTTGCCTAAAAGAGGCCTCTACAGTGTGGGGTGCAGATTGTAAACAAAGTTTTTATTGGAACATAGCTGTGCCCACTTGTTTACTATTGTCCGTGGCTGCCTTTGTGCTGTAGGGGCAGAATGAGGGAGTTGTACAGAGACTATATGGCCTGCAAAACCTAAAATACATACTGTCGGGCGCTTTACAAGCTTTGGTGCAGGGCACCAAGAAGCTGCTCAGTTACTATTCCTTGTCAGAAGGCAGGTGTTGCCCTCACCCCCTCATCCCCTCACCCCCATCCTACTGATCCCCCTCCTAGATACATGGGCCAACTCCCTAAACACTTTCTTTTTTTTTTTTTAATTTTTTTTTTTCAACGTTTATTTATTTTTGGGACAGAGACAGAGCATGAACAGGGGAGGGGCACAGAGAGGGAGACATAGAATCGGAAACAGGCTCCAGGCTCTGAGCCATCAGCCCAGAGCCTGACGCGGGGCTCGAACTCACGGACCGCGAGATCGTGACCTGGCTGAAGCCGGACGCCTAACCGACTGCGCCACCCAGGCGCCCCCCTAAACACTTTCTAAGTCATTCCCCGCCTCCACTACTGCCCCTGGCCCGAGGGATCTCAGTGGGCATTCTCTTGTCCCATGTGGTCTCAGATGGGGGCTCTTGTGGCTGTCCTTTCCAGAATAGACCCCAAAAGGGGAATGAGAAGCAGGTCAGTGAGGACAGAGCCAGAGCTCTTGGGCAATGTTTTAGGGCTGGCCGAGGCTTCTGCTGAGCAGAGCTCACTCTCTTTCTGACACAGCCCAGGCCTTTAAAAAGCAGAACTGCCAACATTGCCCCCCAAAGATGCCAAGCTAGCAGCACAACAGCACTTTCTGTTTTGTCTCCCACCCATGTTCTAATTTGGGGGACAAAGGAGTCTTTAGGGTCGCCTTTAGGAACTTCCTAAATCAAATCTCCTTTCACTTCTTTGGGGCCGTGGATAATCACTCTGTGATAACCTGGGAATTTGGGGGAATGTGTTGCCATAGAAATGCTAATTTGGGGACTTTCTGAGTTCTAAGAAGTTTTGTGTAGTATGGGCTGTGGTATAAATAAAAATGACCAGGGGCTGTGAGCGGTCACCCCATTGGTGGAGAAGAGGCCCCAAAGTTGGCAAAATGCCTTTTCCCCACAGGCCAGGGCGAGATGGTCAATAGTGCCTGAGAGGCCTGTACTCCTGGGTGATCCTTCCTTCCAGAGCGGAGGCTCCAAAGGGCAAGACTGAAATCCCATGCCCGTGGGCTGCCGACAACCAGAACTGACTTTCCTGGGTCCCCACAGCAGAGGGCCTGAACCTCGTGACATCCTCAGGGGAGGGTGAGGTCATTCCATGGGAACAGAGCACTCCCCGAGGTGCAGAGCCCAGCCTTCCCGCTGGACATCTGGACAGAACACTTTGGTCTGTTTGCCCAATGTCTAGCGTTTGTACAACCCTTTAACTCGCTTCATTGGCTGGAGTGTAAATACCGGCCGGCGGCTGAGGCGGCATCTTTGGGTTGCCACCCTGCAATCCAGGGCCCGGGGTTGCTTAGAGATGGGAGCAGATGCGACCAACATTGTGAACATATCTTTTCCACTTCATTACTCTGCCCCCTGTCCCTGTCAGCGGGAGTGGGTTCTGAGCTGGAAACCTTGCAGCAAAGTGGTTCCAAACTGTTGTCAGGCTCCTTAATGAAAAATTTCTCTGTGGGCTTTTCCTATTTGATTCATTGAAGTCTGACTTTAAATCTGAGGAAGAAATGGTCCCATGGGAGTTGGGACTAGAGTTTGAGGAGAAGAGAATAAATATCCCTCTTAAAATACCAAGAAGAGGAGAGGCAAAGGAATCGGGCACAGCAGTGAAACATGTGCCCCCTGGTGGGGGGATGGGAATTCGGCGTTGCTGCTCAGCTGGCCCATTTCTACCACCAGGAGAAAATCCCCACAGCACCCCAGCCAGCATTCTGGGAGCCCACTTTGGGAGCCCAAAGTGCAAGGTGAGCAGGACTTTCAGTGCCCGGAGCCAGCTCTGTCTTTTAGCTTCTATCCCGGGCCTTGAGAGCCCACTAACCAGCTGATCGCCACCGACCTGGAAAAAATTCACCCATCCGAGAGTTCTGCCTTATGAATTTGTTCACCACGTGACATGTTCGGGGGCGAACAGAAGGTGTAGTGGAGGCATCGGCAGGGCTGGCCCTGGCTGGGAAGGCAAATGAGGTGGTTTCGGGAGTGGAACCCCTCCTCCCCACCCCTACAGCAGTGAAGCGGAAAGGTGACCACAAGGACCTTTTCCTGGCAGT